GGAAAGAGGAGAAATGTCAGGACCCAAGGGGCAGTGCTCCCATCTTCTGGCTCATCTGTCCTTCCAGCGAACGCAAGGCTGCAGCTACCCAGACAAGATATTGAATTAAGAGTGCACTCCACAGCAGGAGACATTAAGGAGACAGAAAGGAGACAGAGAAGCCAGCTGTCCTACTGATCTATGTCCTATAGATCCAGCTTTGGCATATAGAAGCCTGGATAGGAGACCTTCCTACAGGGTGCAATGGGCAGTGGCGTTTTCATTGTTGGATTCTCTAGTGTCTCATATAGTGTGAGTTTTGTGCTTTAGGCCTTTCCGTAGCCTGGATCTTACGGTATCTCCATCTTTTACCTGGCTAAATATCTTCACCTAATGGGTAGAAACACAATTATCTAGCCTCCCGATAAACTGAAATCATATCTGACCTGGGGTAAGAAATCAAAGCCACTTTCCTCCTAAAGGGTAAATCAATGGTCAAAGATGACCAAATTCATTTGGTATTGCCTAAATCAGATTTAGGCACGTTGGAGTTGGTGGGCATAAACACCTTCTTTCTTCAGGATGAGTACAGAGACACTGTTAGATCCCTTACGACGCAGCTGAAACAGAAAGACTACAAAGGCTTGAATAGGAGCCAAAGCACATGTCCCCAGCAGTCTTCCTGTAGGGTCACAAAATAAGACAGCACTTAATGGCACTGATTGGTAAAACTGCTTGTCTGGGTGTTTATGAAAGGTGCCATAGAAATACTTCAGAGACTGAGACAAAACGCAATCATGGACATAAGAGACAGGAAGGTTTGGGGCTAAAACACATGACATGAGAAAAGGCTGAAGGAGCTACAGTTGCTTGGCCTGAAGATGGAAAGGTTTGGGGGAATCTAATTACAACTGTCCATTATCTGAACGGGGGTTGTAGGGAACACAGAAGGGAAAACAGAAAAAAGCTGAGGAATAACAGGCACAAGCTGCAACACAAGAAATTCTAGCTCCGTACAAAGAAAAAGCATTCTCACTGCAGAAGTCGTTAAGTGCTGGAGGAGGGGGCCAGAGACATTGTGTAATCTCCATTCTTGGAGATTTTCAAAGCCCAACTGGACAGAACCCAAAAACCTGAACTAACTTCAACGCTGACCCTGATCTCAGCAGGAGGTAGGACCAGATGAGTTCAAGGTCCCTCTAACCTAAATTTTCTGGTTTTCTGCACAAGGGGAAACTGCACATTGTAGTTTTCATAAACAGCATTGCACAAAGGCATACAACATCATCTTTCTTGCCCTAATTGGAACAACTGGCTGGACGTAAGCTTCAGTGAACTGCCTATATTAAAAACGACTAGTAGTATCTAACAGTTGCACTGATCTAATAAGCCTGACTAGGAAGAGACTGGCACTTTCCATAGTATTTAGCTGAGGGTACTTCTACTACGCACGTTGCGCTTATATTAGGTAAAGCTATTAAATGGCATAGCAGAAATTTGGAGTAACCAAGAAATGTTAAGGATTCTCTGCTATATTAATAGAAAAGACCAACTGAAACAAATGGATGTTTGCTCTCTTAGTGCAAAAAAGGTCTCCTTTCCCAGTCTTCCCTTTCTCTGTTTACTGAATGTATTCATAGCAAACTTTAAGAATAGACAGATGTTGGCTTAGTTTCAGTAGTAAATTATGAAAAGAGCCTGAGATTTCCTTGAGAGTAGTTTATAAATTGGAACCAAAAGCATCAACCTGATGAATGCACTGTACATCTTGAAAATTAATTACACACCTTGTAGTGTTTCTAGTCATGTTTGAGATTCACGGACGCGCCAAGATTATCCTGGCGGGTAGCCAGCGCAGGCAGAGGTATGGAGAAAGCATCTCTTTGCAGAAAGTCACATGTACGCCAATTTCTCAAGATGTTTTGCCTCAGAGCAATTAATTTATTATGGCTGTATTTTTATCTGTCAAACTGATAAGAGAGGTCAGGTTATAGTAGAGCTTCGAAGCACAACTCATCTGCTAATGAACCACCACACTTTCCCAGGACCCCAGTCCTGCATGGTCTGCGTGTAGTTATGGAGGAGAAAGCTGTACTTGTATTGCCCTTGTGAAAGCTAAGAAGAAACACAGGTCCTGAGCTCCAGGCAATGCAAAGGTCTTACGCATGCAAATAATACCCCGAGGCTGGAGACGCTGCTCCAGCACTTCTGTGCGCTGGCTGGGGCCAGCTGTCTGCGCAGAGAACAGCTAATAATCTAACTTAAGGTTGTGCCTAAATATCATATCCTAACCTGAAATATTTGGCAACTACTTGTATTTTAAAATATTTGCAATTATATATTTGTATTAAAAAATAACAATGCATGTGATCTGTCCAAAGTATTATAAATTGAAGTATAAAACAAAAAGCTTAAACGTAAACTGGCTTAAAACAGTCAATTTAAAAATTACATTCAAGAGTATCGCTACTAAATCTCAAACTGCAAGCAAAATTGCCAAAATTTTGGCAGTTCTGATTTGAAAACAGCACGTTGTTTAAATGTTAGTAAAAAAAGGGAAATCATCTGAGAGCATGATGGGAAATAAAACACATTCTCCACATCCTGCAAATGGATTTCTGTGAACAGTGACAGGTCCTGAGAAAGCTAAACACAAATAAATGCTGTGTGAAAAACGACAGCAAAAGATTAAGTATCAACTAATTATTCCTTGCTGACTTGCTGCCTGTTAACCCACTATCAAGCCAAAAGGCTGTTCCAAACTTTTTTGGCCAGTCGTTTCATTTCTGGTCCAACATGTATTTTTATTTTATTTTAAGGCTTTCAGAAGCTCTTGGCAGTACACAAGGTTTTGGGAGCAGGCAACGCTCTCAACTCTTTCCTCCCAGCATGACAACCACTACTTTCTTTACCTATCAGTAGTCAGTTTTCTTTGTTTACCCATGTCTGCACAACATCTGTCTTCACTTATTGTTCGCTCAACCCATTAATCCCCCAAATTGTAATGGCTCATCTTCTTGAAGGAAAAGCTGGTTTGGGTTTTTGGTGTCAAGCGCTTTCCTTCCACCTTCTAGGAGGACTTGAAAAAGTCACAACCTTACTGCATCAGGAGGGGAGGGAAAAAAACGAACGTGGGCTTCGGAAAAAAAATCTTCTGACCCTCCTGTGGCACAAAAAAAAATCCCCAAAAGGAATTGGGGAGGGATGAGGGGATTTGGCTATTTGATCGTTCCACACCCCTGTTCTGTTCAGTCTCTCTTGTTCGTTTTCCACATTCCTCCATGCTCACGACTACTCTGAAGGCAGGATATTTGGGGTGCTCTCTCCACTTCAGCAATCCTAGCATACACTACTTGCTTTCCCTTTCCCAGTATGGGTAAGGGAAAGACAAGGGTTCCAGCAGAACTGAGAGTAATTACTCATCAGGTTGCCCATTTCCTACGTGATGCTGCATCTGCACTTGGGTAAATTAAGGTACCTGGCTGCAACCAATGCTCTCCCGGACACCAGGCCAAGTGACTGGCATAGGAAAGCCAGCCAGATACATTGATTATGTATGTCCTTGAGCCACACTCAAAGTACTATTCCTAAAGGCTGAGGCTGTATCTTTACGTACATTTCACTGAACACATTTTATAGCAGCCTACCAAAATGAACAAGGCATAGCTTTGGAGGTAAAGCATGCACAGGCTGTCCCACCAACTCAGGGGAGAAGGAATGTTAATTACTCTAGCTAGCATCTTTGTATTTGGCAGAATACTCTTTTCTTCAAAATACAACTGCCAAGAAAGTTTTAATAACAACTTAAGTGTTAACACATTCCTAATGGCAGACAATCCTGTTCCTGGACAAACTCTAAGCACTGCAAATGGAATAGAGCTAGCTCTGCAGGTTATGTACTGCAACTGGAAGATACACTTGAGCTGCTCTTTTTTTGAGGAGGTTTCCTTAGTCTGCTGTTCTCTGAACCACTTTTTGCAACCTTGTTTACACACTATGCAAATAAGAGCACGAGGGACCAAATTCACCCACGGGCAGAAAGTTGCATCAAGGTTCAATGCATCATTTTGATCCCAAGCAAGCACTTAAAGAAAATGAAGTCGTGTGTGGCATCTGTGCACAGGGGGTGGAAGGGAGTTTCCCTTCAGTAAGGCATCTCATATGGCTATCTAGAAATGCTGTTGAGTAATTAAAAAAAAAAAAAAAAAGGAAAGCTCCTTCATCTGCTGGTGACACAATAAAAAAAATAATTAAATACAAGCATGTCAAGACTGGAGGCTTTACCCCATTTCTGCAAAGCTCTGTGCACGGAGGTGCTCTCCGCCAAGAGGCAAATAAGCTCAGACTGCACCCACTCTGCCGTGCCGCTGCCACCCCCAGTCCTGTAGCCTCCACAGTCCTCGCCTGAAGTTTTGTTAGAAAAGCAATTCTCAGGCTGTGGCAGATGAGAAATGAGAGAAATTGTTTATTTCTTTACAGAGGAGGAGGGTGGGCTGGAGGGATGAAGACAACTGAAACCATTGCTGCATGCCTGTCTCTGGCATCCCTCACCTGCTCCCGCTACACTGGGGAAGTGCAAACTGCCTCCCTAAAACAGCCTCTTCCCTTTCCATCCCCGCAGGCCACACACATCTACGGGTGCTGCCCCTCCTCCGATGAGAACTTGGCTCAGCTATTAGAAAAATCCGGGAAAAATCCCATCATCATGAAAGCATATGTCCCACGTCGAGCTCAACGTGAAATATCAACAACCAATCTTACCAGGCAAACAACAAGCGACTAATGGAAGGCAAAACTACAAAGAGAATGGGGGGCAGGGGGAAAACGCAACTGAAGAAGAAAACCAAGCTTTGTCAGTCGCAGGGAATGATGAGAAAGAAAAAGGCATTGGTGAGAATAATGGTGGGAGGCTGCTGAGATATCCCACAGGGCTCTAGCAAAACGTTATCAGGAATGAGTCTTGTCTTAACCATGCACCCCAGCTGTTTGTATTCAGCTGAGTATTTGCAGTTAACATACTTACCAGGCAAGGATGACCCTATTTCTTACTTCACCACTACGGTGAGGGAACTGATGCTGCCACTCTCCTGGCAGATAAGAGATGACTAAATGGCACTTTACCCCACCACTTCGGGACGCTGATGTTCCCACAGCGGTCTCTAGTGCAAGCTGCACATCTGGTGCAGTTATAACAGCTGGCACATTAAAAAAAGAAACTAAAACCAAGACAACCCTATTTCCTCACTGACATCTGCATCTGAATGTAAAACCAAATGAATACACAATTTCACTTTTTGCTTTAACGATGCCAGCCTAGACTAAGCCTTCATTATACGCAGAGGCTTGCTTGCACAGCCCTAAGTGCAAAGGTAACTCAGTCACAGCTTGCCACCCCCGAGGACACCCACTTGCAGTGGAGACACAATCAAAGCCTTTTCACTGTACAAGGCTTCTCTTTTATGAAGAGCTTGCTTAAATATGTAAGCAATTTCATAGACAGAAAATCTGAGTAATTTTCAAAAGGTCATCTTTTCCAAACTGGTTGCTTTAAACTTTTGCTCTCATGCTGTAGCTGGTATTTTCTTTAAGTCACCGTGAAGGAACCGAACCTAAGGTCACTAATAACAACAGCCATTTACCCTTTTCATCTAGTAACAGATTATACAAATGTCCTGTTATTAAAAAAAAAAAAAAAAAAAGCATTCTCACCTTTTTTGGGTACTTGTGCAACACCCGCAGCTATACATATTGCAATAAAAAGGAGAGTTTTCCTAAAAGGGAGAGAAAGAAAAGAACGTGAGAAAACATCTACAGTTTCAGAACTCCAAGGAATTAGAAGCTTGATTCAACATCTAAAGTCAATGGCAGGATACCATTCACTTCAGCAAGTCCTGGATCAAAGCCATCACATTGTACAACTTTCCACTGATGCTGAGAAGGCATTTTACACAAAAATCAAGAATTATGTATGCCCTCATATATAGTAAATATATTTTACACTGGCTTATATTAATAAAGTAACTGCATCTGGTTTATATTTTCTTGCAGCAGCCTTCAAATATGAAAGCTGCTATGTAGTAAATTTCTTCCTGGGGTGAAAAAAAAAAAAGTTATTGTAAAGAAACCTTAAAATAAAGGACAAGTTAGTGCCTACAGGCTATCAGTCTTGTCACTATGTCACACCATTTTACTATAAATGAAAATGTTGTGTCACACTTTTGTTCCTGTATTATAGAATTTTGTCATGTTACAAACAAGACATGCTCTTCACAAAGTAAAAAAATCCCATCACATTTTGACTTAAAAATTCATGCTCAGATAGAAGAGTGCAATACTGATAGGTATCATAGGCTCACTGATTGCAACAGATATAGATTATGTGCTCAAAATTTGCTTTAAATGAGAAGTGTTGGATATTGGGCAAAGAATACATTTTTAGTATGGTTAAAAACAGACTGTCTACTAGTTTTTACTCAATTATCATATTAACCAGATTAGCGTCTAATCACACTCTTATCAGTGACTAAATCTTTTAATAAATGAGAAATATATTTTCTGTTAATGTTGGACATCCAGGCACAGAAACAGATATATGTAACAATAATAGTAACCCATATCTATTTCATTCTAAGAAGAAATATTTCTAAAATATCAGAAATATAGTTCTGATACTAACTACTCAACTCATGCTCAAGCCTCAGCTCAATGCTCTTGCTCATTAACATGTGTAACCTCATTGACCTTTCATAATATTAAATGCTAGATTGACTAAAAGCATTTGCTGGACCATGCCATAGAGCACTTGAGTATCTAGAAAAAACAGTATTTGAAAGTCACACAGTTGCAACCAAACACCTGTAACTTCATGTGCTGTGACTTTGCCAGCTAATTAAGTCAGGTTTGCACAGCAAAAAAAGTGCAGGAAGAAAACCCTACCACTTCATACAGGAACATATGGTTCAAACAGCAATAACAGACAGGTTCCTTCCACTGAGCGTTCACTGCCAGGTTGCGTTCAGCTCAGAGGATAACGTGCATAAACCAAGTGTTAGTAATGCTACAATGACAAGAAATCATGCTATGATTTAAATATTTTTATATATATATATGTATATATACACACACAGAGAGCAGTATTTAGTGA